ACAAGGAAAATAAATAAGGTTTTAGTAAAGGAAATTTTCCGTTAGCCGAAGACTATTGATTTAAATTGTATAACTAATTGTATACAATAGACACGTATAACGCTCGGTGTAAAAACAACTTATCCCTCCGTTGAGATCATCGCAATCCACTTTGCGTTTTAATTCGATTGAACATCGCTCACAACGCAGTTATTATAGCTAATTCGGCATACAAACTACGAAATATTTAAATTTTTACGCGGAGGTATGCGGATGTAAATTACTGTAAATGCGTAAATCACGTTATTAACATGGAATTAAAACAATGTTTACTTTTTATGAATGATTATTTATAATTAGTTGTATTTAATCTTTTATTATTAAGACATAAATATTTTATAATTTGATATAACCATCGATAAGAAATACAACGTATGCAAACTTTTAAAATTTATAACTTAATCATTGAAAGTTGAAACAAGTAACACAATGTTAAAAGTTATCATTTATCTGGGGTCAGATGTCTTATAATTAGGCTTATATTCATTGTTTAATAAAGACATATATACACACATTGTACTGACATGATTTTCATCGATTCTCATGTGATTTTATGAATTAATAGTATGCTGTAACTGTCTGCATTGACCTTTAAAGTCACTTAAAGATAATATACTATGGGGTCACATAAAGGGTTTATATTCTTGCTAAAGCTTATTAACGAGCGATTCAGCTAATTGTTACTTCAAAAATAGTGATGTTTTTATGTAGCTTATCCGTAATTACTATTTACTTTGATTTTTCCTCATTCGAGTTTTTCACTTATTTTTTAAGCTATTAATCAACTTAATATGTCGCTATTTCTGCATTCGGTTTATGAACGTTACCGTTTTCATTCGATCATCAGATATTCGAAGTTTCGAAAGCTAGCTGCACGTATATTTATATTGTGATTAACATTTTTGAGGTATATTTATCAATATAGTATGTCGCTGTTTCTGTATTCGGTTTATGAACGTTAAAAAGTTCGAAGGTTAGCTGCACGTGAATTTATTTTTTATTTACTATTTAGTTTACAGAGGCACATGTTGTTGTAATGTTACGAAATGACCGTGAAATGGAAATATCGTACTGGGCACTGTTATTACGGCCTCAATAAGGCTAACGTACAGGTCGTTGATACGGGACAAGGCGCATGGTCGGTGCATTAGCGGAAAAAAGATACCAATATAAACATTCAGTTTGTCTTGCTCTACGGGCACCGATCATTCTCAAACTGTGTTGAAAAAGGTGTATATCGAACATTCATAAAATCCACGTTAATACTTGCGATTGTGTTTTATTGACACGCTAAATTACGTTACAGGGTTAAGCACTACCTTTAATGAATGAAATTTACAAGTATTTCGTAAGAGGTCGGAGTTAAAAGCTCCAACAACAGTTTGAGAATGTACTGCGTTTCTGTAGCAGGGCCTACAAAAGTCTGCTCCCGATATCCCCCTTTTGGGACGTGCTGCTGTTAGTCGGCGCCTAGCTGCATTCGTCCCTCACGATATTTAATCGTTTATGAGGTTATGACTTAACCCCTATAAAGACATGACTTATTATAGGCACCAAAGGGCACCAATACCAATAACCGTTCTTGGAAATAAAATTTAACATAAATAATAATAGCCTGTGGGTAGGCTATTATGTACATACATACTTTTATATTTCCTTTTGTACACCCAATGATCATAACAAGACTATAGTCTATTTCATGAAAGAAATCCCTTAGCCGCGTGACCACAGTCTTTGCGAAGTTTGACATCTGGTGTCAAATTCCGTACATTAAATTTTAGTTCGCACATTTTCCGCGGGACATCTATCGTGAAATAGACTATAGCTTAAATTGTTTTTGTAGGACAGGGTGACAAACGAGCACACAGTCCACCTGATGGTAAGTGGTTGCTGTGGCCCCTAGACATCTACATTCTACATCTATCCTCGATTACGAATCAAAATGCAGATGCGTTGTCACCCGTGAGGACTGAGATGGAATGCCTCGTTTCCAGTAAAAAGGGTCTCCGGTTCTCTACACTCACCATACGAAACACAGCAGCATTAAGCTGCTATTTTACGCTGGTATTCTGTGAGGGCGTGGTCCTTCCCCGGTCGAGCCGACCCATTCGTGCTACAACTGTACTACTAATTTAACTGCAGCATGGCTCTACCACGTATAAAAATTATAATACGTATAATAATATTAAATCTGTGATTACAGTTAATACGGTATCAGAGTAGAGTGATATTCACTGTATTAGTTTCGGTATGGTGGGTGCTTGAGGGAGATTTTCACTTCAATTCATCCCCTGTGTCGTTAAAAGCAAACAGGCTTCATAGCCTCCGATGGGATGCGGTGTAACCCTTTATATATGGCAGGTGTACAATCCCCAGATGGCGACGGTAAGCAACGTTAAAAATACGAAACTTCGTTGAACACCAGTCTTCCTACAAAACGCGTCCATTACCTACCATAAATCATTCCTGCAATGGAAAAGTCCCATGTCTATTGTCTAGTTGTGAACTGTTGAGGGCTAACAAAGAAGAAGTAATATACGAATTTCACAATGTACATTATTCAAGATTGACTCATAAATAATTACTTAATTTTTTTTAAATTGTGTATTTACTCTCTTTTTTACTTTGTTAATTTAAACAATTTATTTCGGTTGTTTAATTGCTTACAATTTTTCTTCTTATTTAATTAAGTAATTTGCTTCTAATTTTATAACAGTTTTATTATAAACTTAAATGTGGTAAGATTTCTATTCGTAATAATATACCTACTGATGTTAATAAAGGTTAATAAACATCTTTAATCAAATAAAAAACCGTAAATTCAATAGGACCAAATTAAAAAAATTTAAAATTAAAAAAATTAAAGCCTAAATATGATATTACATATTTCCGGTTTTTCTTAGGATATCTTGAAAAGCTTGTATAACCACATTCACTTTACCTCAAAATACCTTTGTAACGTGTTACGTTAGCACGTATTCCTACAACTTGGGTGCTAATAAACATGAGTGCAACTGGAGTGTAGATACGAGAGAGGCGAAATGAGTCAGTGCCTGGACCGTGCCGGGTCGCACCCGTAACGGAGTTTCTTCGATTACCTCTTTACGTTATCTTACTTAACTATTCATTACTCACTTTGATAATAACACATAATATCATTCCATAAAATTGGACATTATTATTACAAAGAATATTACGTGTGGTAACATTCAATTCATTATCATTTTTGACAAAGATATCAAAATTTTATATCTTTTTCAAAAATGATAATGATGACTTTGTAAATACGTGGTGGAGCCATGCTGCGGTTATATTAGTAGTATGGTTGTAGCACTAGCATGAATGGGTCGATCGAATCGCTCGACTGGAGATGAACCACGTTCTCACAGAATACCAGCGTAAAATAGTTGCTTAATGCTGCTGTGTCTCGTATGGTGAGTGTAGAGAACCGGAGACCGCTTTTTACTGGAAACGAGGCATTACATCTTAGTTCTCACGGGTGAAAAATGGAAACGCATCTGCATTTTGATTCCTAATCGAGGAAAGATGTGGATGTCCATGGGCCAAATCAACCCTTTACCATCAGGTGGATTGTGTGCTCGCTTGTCACCCTAATCTATAAAGAAAACATGCTCTCTTTATGAGAGTATTGTCTTTCCTACATAAGTTTCTATAAAATTTTATTAATGAAGTCCTATGAAATAAACTGGAAGATAACATATCTATGCCTGGCAAATCCATATTTCGTAGCATAAATATTGCTCTATCTTGCAGTTGCGCCAAGAGACTTCATAGATACAAGACCGCTATGTCGCGTGATCGTTCCTATTCAAATGCTGGATGCAACGCAGCCTATACAAACTCGTTTGGTAAATAGTGATAGCTGTTTGATAGACAAAAATAATTACGACTATTTTGCACACTTGTCTGATACACTCGGTACATGTCACGTTTCGAATTAGAAAGTTGATATGTGGTCCCATGTTATGGCTATAAGGCTATAACATCCGTTATATTTCTGACAGTGCAATCATAGAAACGATGGAATAGTCGGCTTCTATTCAAATGCAGCTGCTGAGTATTAAGATATTGTATCTAAAATTATACTACGCAACGTGTTCGTCAAGTGGTTCTATGTGAATCATGTGAGCTCAATCGAACAGCTTATAGTTTCACTTAGCTCTGCTTACGTGTATTCTTAAACGATCAAGTGCTATAAAGTGAGTTCTTAAAATGGAATCGGTATTTAGTTCATTTAAGCGGGTTCATCTCCACAATTCAACTGTAGGTAATTAATTGGTACGTACGTATTCCGCTGACCCTTCCATAACTTTAATGCGTATTTTATTATGTAATTTGATTACAAAAACATATTATATTTTATTTAAATATGATGTGTATTTCAAAGTCCCAACACGGTGTGTTAGCAGAAGTCACTTGAGCTATATATCAAAATGAAGTAAATGAGTCCAATACAATCGAACTGATAATCTTCTTTTTTTAAGTCGGTCGATCAATTACGAAATGAAATAAAGTTTATTTCTTTCTTCTATTGTAACAAAATAAAATTTTGTTTGTCAAAAGTTGTTTTAAATCACGGTTCCTCTGACCGGAGTAGAAACTTTATTGATTGAAGTTATTAGGTGCATAAATCGATTAATTTACATTCTTATTATCAATTTAACCCGATTTTTAATAATTTAAAACATAAATATGCATTATAAGTACAAGCTGTCGTAACATCTGCAGTGTTTTCTAAGTTTTTTTCTCGTCTTTGTGTGAAGCGTAACTAGCAAGTGCCGCTATGTCGTAAAACGCAAGGTGTAATTTTATGCTTAGTGCAGGTGACAAAACGCGAAAGACGATAAATGTTTTACTAATATTTATAGTGAAATAATAGAATTTTTAAGCCATGTTTTATTCATTCTTAGTGTCGTTAAAATGCTAACAATGTAATAAAAATGGCGGTAACAACATCGCCATCTTATCATGGATCGCCGATACATGACGGATTTGCTACAATCCGTGCGCCAAGAAGTCGTATTAAAATAAGAAATCTTGTTGAACCAAATAATGCTGCTAATCTACCTCAGAGGCATTCGGAGTATTTCACACTACAAAGAAATTCCACGAATAACTTTTTAGACAACAGTGTAGTAGTGCAATACGCAAACAATGAGTCAGTGAATTTTAGTAATGACTCTGACAAACCCTTGAGACTCAGTTTTACAGAACCTATTTATGCCAAAGTAACTCCACCACATTCTAAAAGTGCTTCCCCTGTGAAACACGTAAATGGCAAGTCAAAAATTCATTACGATTCTATAGATACAAAGCCCCGGCGAAGATTAAAAAGCTTAGAGTTCATAACAGGTACAGATCTGATGGTGGATGAAAAAAATGGAATTACAAACTTAAGTAATGGGGAACGGCAACCATTTGAACAGCATATAGAAAATCAGGACAGCTCCGAACAGCATTCCGTGCGCACGGACACTACGGGATCATCCATCGACTACAGAAAGAGACACATCGATCGAGATAATTGTTCGGAATCATCGTCATACCTCACAGATAATGAAAGGCCTATTTCCAGTTATAGCGACAACTCCACTATACCATCCACGGACACTGAAGATGTTTTGAAAGAATTGCCAAGTAAATCGAGATTTCATAAGTCACCACAGAAGTTCGCCACGTTAAATTTGCGAAGACCTAAATTTATTGATCTCAAACCTCCAGGTCTCAAAGAAAATCAATTTTATGGAAGTCTGCAAAGAAACAAATTGGGTTACCATTCGGAACCAAATACTCCGCTTACAGGAGATCGGATAGATTTAACCGATGAATCCAATATACTGAATCAAATTCAACGAATACCGAGAATGTCTTTGCAAAATAACAGAAACGGTTTTAGAAGGTCCGTGAGTGAAACTAATGGTTTTTCCAAAAGGCTTAACTATAGACACTCTTTTAGCGCAGATTATAAGTCTCAAACAGTCATAAAAAGACCGCATAAATGCTGCGAATGCGTAACAGGAATACCTGCAGAGGAGGAAGAAAATCAATCCACTAGAACATTAGGGACTTTGTACGAAGCACAAGATCCTAAAGTAGGATGTCAAACAATACTGAGATCAAAACCACCGATTCCGTGGTGGGAGCTGGCCATTAAGAAGTCGCGTTACAAAAGTTGCCCCATTCTTGAAGAGGTAAGTTCTTTTTATTCAAAATGAATTTATTTAAATTAGGATTATATGAATTACTATGTAAACATTTCTATGATACAATTCTTATATAATTGTTATTACACTTCCAAGCTTCTACCTATTTCTTTCATTTTTTTTCGTGTGGTTAAATTCATAGAATACTATAACATATACATAATAGAAAGGGTGAGTGGGCGGAGCTCGCGTAGCCACTAAAATGTCACTAACACGTCAATTCACACATACTTAAATGTCAACATGAGATGTGTTTTGACGTTACAATCGTTTTCAAATTTCGCATAAAAATTATTTCAAAAATGCCAAATTGCACCCTATTTATAAATAAATATGTATTAAAATTTAAACGATTTTTTTTAATGATAAGCTTGAACATTAATCAAAAGTCTAAAATGTGTAAATTTATTAATTTACTGTCTGTCAACACAGCGAATCGGGTTTGGCGACGCCAATCCTCGTACAAAATAAAGTTACAAATTACATGTACTTACTAACGTTAACGTTCAATAACGACTTCCGCCAACAAAAAAAAAAAAAAACGAATGCTTCTGTTGACATGATGATCAACAACCGGCGAATTGACGGCTTTGTGGCGCAGTAGCTTAGCAATGACAATGAGTGGCTGCGCTGGAGGCCGCGAGTTCGAATCCCGCACGGAACAAGTACTTGTATGGCCTACAAATAATTATTCCGGGTTTGCATGTTTGTCCTTGTGCAATTTATGTTTGTAAACTGCCTCCACGACACAGGAAAAATCCTAGTGTGGGGGTAACGTTTTTTAATGAAAAATAAATAAAAAATCAAACCAAGCGTTGAAAAAATATATGAGTCGCGTACGTAGTACTACTAGTTTTGTTTCTAATATTATTTTTATTAATTCATTTCGTATTAATATTTTTTATTTATTTTACTCACATTTAGTTGTTATAACTTTTAAAATAAATCAAAATCTTACGTAGGTACCTATACCGGGCAGTCGTTTTATTCCGTTATTTAGGTGTGGCACGTATTCGCTTTTATACTCGTAAAACAGGGGTGAAGACTGCAACGTAACTATTGTGGGCTTGCCTTTGAAACACACACATTATTTTATTAAAATATGCGTAAATTGAATAAGAGTTGGGGGAATTATAATTAAAAGTCTCCTCACCTGACGGGGTACAGGTGTTGTGTTTATCGTATTAAGTTAGTAATAATAATAAGAGATATCCAGCCACTCCTTAATTAATTTCTAATAAAAATAAAATATGTATAGGTTTATATCTGCTCAATTTTTCTGGCATTCCCTATAATCGGCTCTTATGACACTCTGGATTTATCAATTCAAATTGCAAGTATTTGTAACTTTGTTATAAGTAAATTAATAAAGTTATTTAATTTTGATTGGCTTACATATCATACACTATTGTGCTTACAAGTATGATTAGAAAGTGGTAAAAAGGTATTGCACGGTGTACTTAAATAAATGATCGAAAAGATATAAATACTATAATGCTTTACATTCGCTTTCTAATTCATATACATGGATTTCGGTTTGGGATTGTGTTCTCTAACAGGTGCCTTATGTAAGTCAACCCAAATCTCGCTTCGACGGCACAGTGCAGTGATATGAACAAAAAATAAGGTTTGTGGCCTTTCTGGCAGAAAAAAAAACTACCTGACTACCGAAAAAGGTGTGATACATTATTGTTGGTCAGATGTGAACTTAATCGAGTTTTGAGAGCCTTCAATGATTTCACTGATATTTTATAGCAGTTTCCCACGCTAATAGCTTGTTATATATCATTCTTTTTCTGGTTGTATTGAGTTTCTCTTATTTTGCTTACTTCGATTGTATCGTATCGTTGCTTACTTTTTTATATTAGTTATAACATATTTGTGTAAATATTTATATCCCATAGCCAGCCCATATCATTGAACAGGCATTTTATAATAATAATTATGTTTTATAAACCACTTCTAAATTAGACTTTGTTTTCAAAATATAGTTTCAAAGTAGTGTGTTTTTTTTAAAGAATAAAGTGACCAAGGAACTTGTAGTCCACCTACCGGCAGAGGTTATAGCAATTCATGAATTGCAGCCAACTTCCAAGACATGGGTACAGATATATTGACATCTGAGGACTGAGATGTAAGTCCTCAAAGCCTACTAATCATTATACTGGTTTTCTACACCCTTCAGACCGGAACACTCAATGCACCTGTATCATCCACCATAGATTATGAATAAAACATGTGCATGATTTTCAGGAAACATGTAATTTGAAACGCTTTTCCTGTTATTATTTTAATTTCATTACTGAGGCAATTATTTCGGAAGGATTTTCACACAAGCACAAGTATTCTAACTTCCGATTAATGTAATATTCCGCTAAAAATGCCGCTATGTGTATTAGTTTCAAATTTACGTGTTTCTGACCACAGCTGCACAGATAATGTGTAGCCAAAGAGATTTAAATATAAATACTATACCTTAATGTCTTTGTGTGTAGCTGTCTAGCTGTTGTATTTTGAAGTAAGCTTTATATTGTCATTGCTGCGTAGGCGACGAGACCTTTAAAGCAAACATTCATACTCCATAAGGGACATCTGATCTTGCGCAAACTGCGCCCCAAGCATTCTTGCTTACCATTGTTTGTTGAAATACTCTGTTGATGATATTGTTATCAACTAGGATATTTTGGTTGTGAAATAGCAGCGATCGCTTCTTTATAAAAATTATCAACGAAGTTATTCAAAAATAAATACTTTGTGTTAACTTCTAAGTAACATAGTGACATTTCACTTTTAAATGAAAGTTTTGTTCCATCTATTTGATAAATTATGATATTAAAGTAACAGTCTACGTTCCACTGTTAGTATAGGTATTTTTATTGTATATTTTTTTAATTGAAGTGGCAAACGAATTTGTGGTCCACCTGATTGTAATTTGCTACTGCAGCACATGGACAACTGTAACCGACTTATTATAACTACTCTTGTTATTACGGAAAGCGTTTTGGGACTTTTTTATGTTTTTAAAGTTATTGGGACCGGTAGAGTTCGTCGCGCCAGCTAAATTCGTGGTTTTTTATAGTCTGTACCATTTTTTATAGAATAAAGGTAACAAACGAGTACATAGTCCTGATAGTAAGTGAATGCTGTGGCGTTTAGATATCTACATTTATCCTCAATTAAGAATCTAAACGCAGATACGTTGCCATTCCTGAGGACTATGAAGGAATGCCTCATTTGCAATAAAAGGGTCTCCAGTTGTCTACCATACGAAACACAGCAGCATTAAATTGCTATTTTATGCTAGTGTTCTGTGAGAGTGTAGTCTTACCCCGGTCGAGCCGACCCATTCGTGCTACAACTATAATGAAGCTGGGTAGAGCCACGTTGTGACATCCTTCAGCGAGACTGGCGGGATTCACATACTTTGGAAATATTTCCTTTTTTAATTTTAATTACGTACATAGTTACTTCATGTACCTACAGAATAAACAATATACAATTCTTAATTCTGAAAACAATACGAAACGATAATCAAGCTCATTGTCAATCCGTATACATGAGGTACGAGGGTTGATTGAAAAGTACTCGGCCTAACCAAGAAAATAAACACATACTAAATCAGTTATATTTTTATTTTTCTACATAATCACCATCAAGTTCAATACACTTTTGCCACCAAGCATTTAGACCGTTGAAAAAAAATGATTCTTCCTTAGAGTCAAAATATGCGTCTACAGCTGCTTTGACCTCGTCGTTTGTCGAAAATCTTTGACCTCCCAAGTGCTTTTTTAGGTTAGGGAACAGAAAGAAGTCTGATGGTGCCAGATCAGGTGAATACGGCGGATGCGGTAACAGTTCAAAGCCACAGTTGTGAATTTCAGCCATTGACTGTACTGACGTGTGAACACGGGCGTTATCTTGATGAAACAGGACTTTTCTTCTGAGCATTCCTCGACGTTTTTCTTTTATTTCCTCTCGTAAATGACGTAGTAAGGTGCAGTAGTAATCAGAGTTTATAGTCTGACCGCTTTCAAGATAATCAATCATAATCACACCTTTCGAGTCCCAGAATACTGAAGCCATCACCTTATTTGCCGACAAAATCGACTTAGCCTTTTTAGGGGGTGGTGAACCAGGTCTTCTCCACTGTTTTGATTGTTGTTTTGTTTCCGTTGTACAGTAATGAACCCATGTTTCGTCCATAGTAACAAAACGATTCAAAAAATCATCTGCATCGGCTTCAAATAACTCCAAACAGTCGCGTGAAATAGTCAATCGCGTCCTTTTTTTGTTCAACTGAAAGCAGTCGCGGAACCCACCTCGCAGACACCTTGTGGAAACCCAACTCGTTGACAATGATGTTTTGAGTTCGTTCATAAGAGATGCCTATAATCTCGGCTATCTCTCTAATTTTTAATCTGCGGTCTCCCATTATTAAATCAAGTACTTTTTTAATATTTTCGTCAGTAGTTGACGTCGAAGGCCTTCCAGAGCGGGGTTCATCTTTCACACTCTCTCTACCACGCTTAAATTCTGCTATCCATTTTTTGACGGATGAATATGACAGAACACAATCGTCTAATGTACTGACCATGTCATAATGGATGGCTTTTGATGATAGCCCCTTCTTATGGAGGTACTTAATGACGGCACGCTGCTCGATTTGCTCCATTCGCGAAAATTATGTCCGATTACTTTGTTAATAAATTTATAAAATCACAACTAATTATCGCACACGTTTCGAACTTCACACAATGAACTAGTCTGAACTGACCTAAATAATGTGGGTAGGTTTGATTTTTAGAATTGAATGGATCTGTGTTAGGCCGAGTATTTTTCAATCCACCCAGGTATCTATCTATCTATCTCACGTCTTGTAAATACGCTTGTAAATAATGTAGTAGCGGTGTAAGTATATCCACTACCTATCGATCACTAATAAAGAACATTAGTGATCGATGCCACTACCCCATATCATATCGTGGAAGTCGTAAGAGGCGACAGAGGGAAAC